TATTTTCGTTGCTACTTCATAACTGTAATGTTGCTGTTATGAATCGTAATGTAAATATCTGATATGCAGGATGGTCTTAGGTGACCCCTGTGAAAGGGTCGTTCGATCGCCAAAGGGGTCGTGACCCACAGGTTGAGAACCGCTGCTCTAGGGTTTTATATGTACAGTGTCATGTCATCTAAGAATAATGACAGTTTTACTTCCTCCTTTCCAATTTGGATGCCTTTCATATTTTTTCTTGTCTAATTGCTGAGGCTGGGACTTCCAGTATTATATTGAATAATAGTGGTGAAAGCAGACATCCCTATCCTGTTCCTGTTCTTAGGGGAAATGATTTTAGTTTTTGCTCATTGAGTATGTAAGCTGTAGGTTTGTCATATATGGCCTTTATTATTATGTTGAAGCATGATCCCTCTATTCCCACTTTGCTAAGTTTTTATCAAAAAAGGGTGTTGGATTTTGTCAAATGCTTTTTCTGCATCAATTGACATAATCATGTGATTTTTGTCTTCCAATTTGTTTATGTGATGTATCACCTTTATTGATTTGTGAATATTGTACCAGCCTTCGATCCCTGGAATAAATCCCCCTTGGTCATGGTGTATGATCTTTTTAATGTATTGTTGGATTTGATTTGCTAATATTTTCTTGAGGATTTTAGCATCTATGTTCATCAGGGATATTGGCCTGTAATTCTCTTTCTTTGTAGTGTCTTCAGCTAGTTTTGGAATTAGGCTAATGCTAGCCTCGTAAAAAGAGCTTGGAAGTGTTCCTTCCTCTCGGATTTTTTTGAATAGTTTGAGGAGGATAGGTGTTAGTTCTTTGAATGTTTGGTAAACTTCCCTGTGAAGCCATCTGGACCAGGGCTTTTGTTTGCTGGAGTTTTTTTTTATTTTTTTATTACTGCTTCAATTTCATCAGTAATTATGGATCTATTCAAGTTTTCAGATTCTTCCTGATTGAGTGTTTGGAAGATTGTACTTTTCTAAGAATATGTCCATTTCATCCAGGTTAGCCAGCTTGTTGGAATATAGTTGTTCATAGTATTTTTTTTTTTTGTAGGTTCCTTTAGATTTCTGTGGGGTCAGTTGTTACTTCTCCTCTTTTGTTTCTGATTTTGTTTATTTGAGTTCTCTCTCTTTGTTTCTTGATGAGTCTGGCTAAAAGTTCATCAATTTCGTTTATCTTTTCAGAGAACCAGATCTTGGTTTTGTTGATCTTTTGTATTTATTTTTATTTTTTTTAGTCTCTACATCATTTAGTTCCACTCTGATCTTTATTTCCTTCCTTCTACTTACTATGGGCTTTTCTTGTTGTTCTCTTTCTAGTTCTTTAAGTTGTACTAGTATGGTTAGATATGTTTTTCTTGTTTTTTGAGGTAGGCCTGTAGTGCTATGAACTTCCCTCTCAGGACTGCTTTCACTGTGTCCCATAGATTTGGGGTGTTGTGTGTTCATTTTCATTTATTTCCAGGAATTTTTTTTTACTTCTTTCTTGATCTCTTTGGTAACCCATTCAATGTTTAATAACATGCTATTTAGCCTCCATGTGTTTGAATGTTTCTGAGTGTTTTTATTATAGTTGATTTCTAATTTCATGCCATTGTGATCTGAGAAGATGCTTGATATGATTTCAATCTTTTTGAACTTGCCACAGCTACCCCAACCTTCATAAATAATGTTGTAATTAAGGATTAAAACCCTAGCAAGGACACATCACAAATTAAGTTATGGCTGTGGCCAATAATATAACATGTATATATAAAATAATGTTCCAAATTCTATAAAATGGAAATAAATGTATTACACATATTAATTATGGAAGTTACTCCCAGAATGTTACAAGATATACATACATACAACATAAAAAATTTGACAATTTCTTAAGCCCTTACTATAAGCCAGGCACTGTAGGCAAATCAAAGCTGGCTAAGCTCCTGAAGAACCTGGAGTCTAACCAGGGGTGACACATGTACAGAGAAAAAATAATATGAGGAAGAGTGAAAATAGTGACGTGACCAAAGAACAATATTAGAGGAAAGGGAGATTGCTTTTTTTGGTTAGATTTCACGGCAGAAGCATCATTTGAGCTGAACCATGAAGAATTTTAATAAGTAAAGATGATGGAAGTGAAGGCGGAATGAATGCATTTCAATTTGAGAAAATGGCCTGAGCAAAGGGCATTGAAGTGGGAAAGAACATAGCATAATAATGACATACAGAAAAGTTCCTATTTATTACCTTTAAAATCCGTGCATCAGTCAGTCCTGTGAGATGGCTATGATTATTCCCACTGTATAGATTAGAAAACAGGAGGGATAGAGAGGTTAAGTGGCAGAGCCAGGATTCCAACCCAGGTCTGTTTTATTCCAAAACCAGTGCTCTTTGCTGCCATGCTATGCAGCCTTCACATTCAGGAAATAGCAGGTAATGCAGCTTACCGCGTGATAGAGATTATAGGGATATCAGTGGGAAATCCTCCTGGAAGGGATTAATAGAGGGTTTTTAGGAGGCAGTGAAAATGGACAGGGAAGGATAGATGAGAGGCTTGGTGTAGGAGGGCTCAAAAATAATTGAAAATTGATTGTACTGGTGATTAGGGACAAGGGCAAAATCAATGATGACTTAGGTTTAATATCTGTTTGACTAAAGGAACAGTGGTAGAAAAGTGAGGAAAAGAAGCTTGTTTGGAGGGTGAAGGGAAAGGAAAGATGGAGCAATCATTTTTGCTTTAGATATGTTGTATTTAAAATACAGATGGAAGATATTGGAAATTTAGGCAGCAGATGTAACTTCTCATTTTATTAAATTTGGATTAAAAGGAAGACTGGGGGACAATAACGGGAGGTTGCTGAAAGCTAAGGCTTTATCAAAATTGACACCCTGGCATCAGAGGGGCCTTATCACTCCTGCATGTCACCAACTTTCTGTATCTTTTTAAAATATATATGTTTTTATTGATTTTTTTTTTTTTTTTTTTTTTTTTTTTTTTTTTTTGTAGAGAGGAAAGGAGAGGGAGAGAGAGAAAAACATTGATAAGAGATAAACATCAACATCACTCGGCTGCCTCCTGCCCCTACTGGGGAGGCATGTGCCCTGATTGGAATCAAACCTGCCACCTCTTGGTGCATGATTCATCGATGCTCAACCAACTGAGCAATACCAGCCGGCCTGCCGTTCTCTATTGTTATTGCATGTGATCGCCACCTGCCCCATGATCTCTAATCCTCTGACACCTCTGCATTCATCTGGCCCAGTAGTCCCCTTCTGTTTTCACTTGACTTTCTTTCTAGTCTAGCCCTCCAAATCAGTCATTTGAATTCTACCCTCTCTGGCATCTTTCAGTATCTCTTTCCCTAAACGTTACCTTCTTCTCTCCACATCCAAAGGACCATCCATCCTCTTAGCCAATGAAGGCCCTAAAGTGCAATGAACCTTTAATCCTGATTATAGTATTACTAGAGGCCCAGTGCATGAAAATTCACTCATGCCCAGCCTGCCCCCTCTCACAGTCTGGGAGCCCTCAGGGGCAGAAGGCGATGCCCCATCACACCTCTGCTGCTGCCACTGCCAGCAGTGCAGGCCTCGCTGGCCCTGATTACCTGAGCCCCTGGGCGGCTGGGCAGTCACCATCCAAGGCTTGCTTGCGCCTCAGGCCGGCCCTGGGTGGCTGAGGGGCTGAGGGGCTGGGGGACTCCAGAGGCAGGCATGCAGCAAGGCCAGGTCTTTATTGTTAAAAGTATTACATATGTCTCCTTTTTCCCCCATTGACCTCTCCCAGCCCGCTCCTACCCCCCCGGCACAGGCCCTCACCCCCCTAGTGTCTGTGTCGATTGGTCATGCTTATATGCATGCATACAAGTCTTTTGGTTGATCTCTTACCCCCCCCCTCCTCCGTTCCACCCTCCCTGAGTCCCTGATTCTTGAAGGGGACTGAAGCAGGCATATCTTGTTGGGCTTCTTTTGTGCCTGAAATCTATGGTACTTTTATTGGAATGAACTAAGAAGGTAAAATAGGTTAGATCACCTTTTTGCTAGTTTTGTCTTATTTCCAAACATCTGAAGTATACAGAGAGGAGGGAGCTGTTATGGGGCATAAAGAAGAAACTGCTTTGAGGTCCCTTAAGGATATAGTCTATACAGCTGCTGTGTGGGCATCCTGTTTCTTCCCGAAACCAGACCTGTGAGTAAAAACTGGCGTTGGATAGGGACTTTGAGGCAGCACTAGTCTTGACCAGAAAACCTGGCTCCCTCTAAACCTCGCTGTGCTAGCTCCTGACTAGCCCTGGGGAAGCTGCTAATTTACAATTGGCACCTATGTTGTTGATGCTGCTGAAGGCCTTCCAGCAGTTCTCAACCTGTGGGTCGCGACCATCGGAAAACACATATAGCATATCAGATATTTACATTACGATTCATAACAGTAGCAAAATTACAGTTATGAAGTAGCAACGAAAATAATTTTATGGTTGGGGGGTCACCACAGCATGAGAACTGTATTAAAGGGTCGCGGCATTAGGAAGGTTGAGAACCACTGCTAGACCTTCATGTACATAGCACCGGGAGCCAGCAGAGGGAGCTGTAGTGTCAGAACTTTCTTTAGAGCTAATAAATTCTGATTTTGTAAGATCTTCCTTGGCTCCATCTCCCATGAAAGAAGAATTTGATTTGAGATATGCCTGAGCTGAGTGTCAGACCCCTGCTGTGAGCAGGCGGGGAGCTTCTGCGTAGCTGTTTAAACTTGAAAGCCATAAGGAACTCTTGATTTCAAGGAAACGCCTGTTTACTGTACAGATCCAGTAACTCTTGAGAAATGGGAGTGCCTTCTTGACCTTGAGCCTTATTGATTTTGGTATCAGCACTTCCAGTGACGTGTCCTGCGGGGCGGGAGAAAATTAACAAGTGCCTTACACACTGGGAGAGGGAGGAAGCCTGGCTGTTGCTGCTGGTAGAGTGTTTGGGTAGCATTCGACAGCGAGTGCCCTGTAGGAAGTTCAGTGGCTGGGTGCAGAACCGTGCATTAGCTCTGATTTTGAATCAGAAGCAGAAGCTTTGAAGCTAGCCAGCCAGTAAGGGACTTGTTAGGCAGTTGACGAGTGATCTTGATTTGAATAGGAAGCCTCTGTTAAAGGGGGTGCAGCTTCTGCTACACATTGTGAACTTCTGAATCACTTGGTTTGGTTCTGCTTTTGGCCACTGGGAAAACCCAGGCATATCCAAACCAGCTTTCCATTTTGCTTCAGGACATATAGTCCCCAAGCCTGCACTATGGAGAAGTGGGACGGGAATGAGGGCACCTCAGCTTTTCACATGCCTGAGTGGATGGTGAGTTCTTCCATCATTTTGCTTTTCCATTTCTTGATCATGAGACCACCACCTTTGACAGATGACAGGGATCACCTGTGAGAAATTCCTACCAAGACCTGTGGTTGGGAAAAAAGTTATTACTCTAATTTATGATTCGTTCCTCTGTCTCGGGTCACCCCTGTTTCTTAATTACAAGTGAAGCTGGGAAGGTCTCAGGGCTGCCTGGCCAGGGTCAGCTTCTTGCCTCGCTGTGCTGGGCTGGAGTCCCTCCTGCTGCTTGTGTGCTGCACGGGTTGTGTTATCCTATGATTGCTTTGCATTCTATACACAAGCTGATACCTTGTTTGTTCACTACTTGCTTCACTGTGGTGGTCCGACCAGTGACTTTCAATCTTTTTTTTATCTCATGGCACATATTAACTACTAAAATTCTGCAGCAAACCAAACATTATATTTTTTTACCAATCTGACAGAAAAGGTAGGTATAATTTTGATTCATTCACACCAGATGGCTGTTGTTGTATTGGCTGTTGTCAATTTTAAAAGTTTGATAATCTAAGGGAAAAGAGGTTGGTGTTCCTGATTAAATAGTCAGGTATTGCATGTTTTAAAAAATTCTTGCGGCACATTGGTCAAAATTCCTGGTCTAGACCAAATCTGCTATATCTTTGAATTATGCCTGTAGTGTGGGGAGGGGGGCAGACTTTGTAGAAATGGTGCTCTCTTAAGTCTCTGAAAACATTTGACCTTTCTCCCCTACCTGCCCAGTTTTCCCCCTCCAATCAAAACATTTCCCCAAATATTCTTTATATGTATATTTCTAAGAGGCAGGATCTATAGCTCCTCTAGCGCCATTTTATCTCATGGCACATATTAACTACTAAAATTCTGCAGCAAACCAAACATTATATTTTTTTACCAATCTGACAGAAAAGGTAGGTATAATTTTGATTCATTCACACCAGATGGCTGTTGTTGTATTGGCTGTTGTCAATTTTAAAAGTTTGATAATCTAAGGGAAAAGAGGTTGGTGTTCCTGATTAAATAGTCAGGTATTGCATGTTTTAAAAAATTCTTGCGGCACATTGGTCAAAATTCCTGGTCTAGACCAAATCTGCTATATCTTTGAATTATGCCTGTAGTGTGGGGAGGGGGGCAGACTTTGTAGAAATGGTGCTCTCTTAAGTCTCTGAAAACATTTGACCTTTCTCCCCTACCTGCCCAGTTTCCCCCTCCAATCAAAACATTTCCCCAAATATTCTTTATATGTATATTTCCAAGAGGCAGGATCTATAGCTCCTCTAGCGCCATTCTTCAAATAACATATTTGCCTGATAAATATTTTTAATATGATGGTAATAGGACTTATTTGTTGATAAGAACTACCACATACAACCTAATATTTTAGATCCAATGTCAACTTTTGATTTAAAAACAGCAACCATTCTTATGTTCCTAACTGTGGTTTTTTTCTAGGTTTAGTGATTTCTTACAGTCTGTACCATTTGTGTTTTATACATATACCAGGGGCCCACTGCATGAATTCATGCACTTTGAAAGGAACTGGGGTCGTGAGACTGCGGTGGGCACAGGGGTGGGTAGGCCCATCCTCCACACGCGCACCCAGCCTCTCCTGCCGCAGACGCTGGTCCTCTGTCTGCTAGCAGCCCTGCTCCCACCACCACTCCCATGGGCTGATGGCACAGCACCTGCTGGTGTAGAGCAGTTGGGGCTAGTGCCAGCAGCGGGTGCAAGCGGTGGCTGCTGCCCCAATTGCCCCCCGGAGCAGGGGGAGGTGGAGAAGCCCTCAGGGACGATCAGGGCCCAGGGCCAGCAGCCACCACTTGCACCCGCTGATGGCACCGGCAGCAGGTGTGAGTGGCAGGCGGGACCGTGAGAGCAAAGAATTTTCAGTAACCACCAGAGGCTCCCCCTGATGACAGTGATTGGTGCCCCACCTTGGTCTGGAGCCCCAGCTCACCTGCTCCACCATCCCGCCGCAGCCGACGCCCGCCATGTTCCACGTGCATCCCCTGGTGGTCAGCGCATGTCATAGCGACGGGTTGTTAGGTTGTTCTGCCGTTCAGCTATTTGCATATTAGCCTTTTATTATATAGGATTTCCTAACGGGTTGTTCGGTTGTTCTGCCGTTCAGTCTATTTGCATATTAGCCTTTTATTATCTAGGATTTCCTAATGGGAAACTGGTTAGACTTTATACAACATATTTCAAATTCTTTTTTGTTTTTATGGAATTATGGACTTAAAGAAATAACCATCAATAATGGGATTGAGCCCTAGCCAGTTTGGCTCAGTGGATAGAGCACCAGTCTGTGGACTGAAGGTCCTGGGTTCGATTCCGATCAAGAGCACGTACACTGAGTTGCAGGCTTCATCCCAGCCCCAGTCAGGCATGTGTGGGAGGCAACCAATGTGTCTCTCTCACATCAATGTTTCTCTTTGTCTCTCCCCATACCTTCCAATGGAAAAATACAGGTGAGGCTTAACAACAACAAAAATAATGAGATTGAATATATAATAGGCCTAACAAAGGCCCAACTGAGGAGCCCACCTCTTCTTGTTAAAACTATTGGTTTTTATTTTTGTTTGGGGTTATTGCTGTTGTTCTTAATGTTGTTTCAGAACCTTGTGCTTAGTTTTAAAAAGTTTGATAGAAACTAATCCTACCCATCCACAGGCTTATTTCAAAGAATGTATTGTTTTAGAATTAATGGAAAGGATTCATTCAATAATTCTAGTTGGGCTTTTGTTTCTGAATCTCCAGCCACTCACTAATAACAAGGGGGAGCAAGAAATCTGGTTGTTGTTGTTTTATGGGAGGGACCACATTAAGATAATACTAAATTCTGGTACTTCTCTAAAGGAATATTACAGGAGAATTCTGTGGGGCATTAGGGTGTCAACTCAGAATCAACGGAAGTTTATAGTAACTCTTAATCTCATAACTTCCTCACTGTCTTACCTGCTGAGCACATCCTCAAGAGGAGCTCCTGCTGCTTACCTACTCACTTTCTTTTTATTTACATGAACAAGGAGAGTGTCCTTACGGAGTTAGTGTGACTATTGCTTAAGGGATATAACTTAGGACTCCCCAGCTTTTAGTAAACATTCATTAAAACACAGATCTGCTCTGTTTTCGTTATGGCATCTCTCATTTAGCGATTTCTTGGCCCATCTGTCTCAAAAATTAGGAAAATACCTTTAATCAGTAGATTTTATTTTTAAAACAACAATGAGAAAGAATAGGGAGGGGCTTATCTTCAATAATTCAGTTTTTTCATCTACTATATTTCCTTGCCAAAAGACTTAACCTTTTGAGGCTTTTTTTCAGATACTACATGTCATTAGTTCCTGACCTGGTCTGAAAGTGCTGCATTAGGCTGCCGCCTATGTCCACTTAGCCAGTAAAGTGAACCCCTGAGCACCCTCTAGTGTATTGCCTATAGATTTCCAGACCTTACCTGTAAAATGTCAGTGCCCTTGAATCCCTGAGAGAAAACCCTGGAGCCAACTCCCACATTGAGCAGAAATTTCAATTTTAAAAAGGTTTAACAAATGTCTGACTCATTTTAACAAATGTCCCAGTTGATATTAATGTATTGAAGTTTCCACTGAAACTATCCTAGCCTCCAAAAGAAATATGACAAGACTTTCAAACCTTTCAGGAGGACACTTTAGCAAGAAGGTCCATTATAGCACCTTCCCTTTTGTTAACAACAGCAGAAAAAAGAGACTTGCATACCCCTCAAAAATAGGACTCAGACCAGACAGCAGCTGAGAGTACTCACGTCTCTGATTTCCAGGAGGGAAATAAGCCAGGACGAACTCTGAACCCCAATCTCGAGAATGGACAGAGTAGACCTTCAGTTAACATTCCATCAGCCTCTGGAAAACTTCTGCTGGACCCTCTGCTCCTCAGCTGTTTGTTTTTTGGGTTTTTTTTGTGAAGGATTTTCTTTGGCTTGTTCGGGCAGTTTTACTGCTTAAAGTTTGGAGAATACATCCTTTTAAAGATTGGTCTTATTAATAAGTTTTTACTTCTCCTGAGAAATCTTTAGTTCCTGTCGGTAGGTAAAATACAAATGCTTTCTCTTATGTTGTGTGGAGGTCAGCAGTAACCTTTTTGTCAGTTTCTGCATTTTAATATTTTCTCCTCCCACCCAGGCTCTCTATAGTACTTGGTACTTTTCCATAGGAAATCTAATGACTTTCTTGAGTACTCAGCCAGCTGGTTACCTGACTTTCTTTTGGCTGGAAGTCATTCCTTTTATAAGTGAAGAATTTGTTTTAGCAGCTCATTTGGCTTGAAAGGGAGGCATGTCTCTAAGAATGCTTGAACCATATCTACTTGGAAGTGAGACACCTTTAAGGTACCGATCTGGTAAATTGTGGTAGAGATAGCTTGGCTTTAGCTCTGGGTCAGGATTGACATTTAAAGCAGAGACCCATTTGAAAAACTATGGGCCCTCTCTCCAGGAAAACATACACAAAATTTTGCTTTTTTTTTTTTTTACTCTAAATGAAGAACTTGTGACCTAAAAATACAAAAATCTTTATGTTTTGTACTGTGTATTATTATGTGGTCTTCAAAACCCTCTCAAATACATTATTTTATCTCTCAGCACACATTTGAGATAAGCAAAGTAGATGTTATTGTTCCCATATTACAAACGAGGATTACAGATGTAAAGTGTGGGAAATGTTAAGAAATGGAGAAACAGAGAGAACCTCTGATTATCATCCTTTGTGTATTTGAAAAGGAATTAACTGTTTTCTCTTGGCCTGATCCTCTTTAGGATTACAAACGAGGATTATAGATGTAAAGTGTGGGATATGTTAAGAAATGGAGAAACAGAGAACCTCTGATTATCATCCTTTGTGTATTTGAACAGGAATTAACTGTTTTCTCTTGGCCTGATCCTCTTTAGGTTAAATAGATCTTCTGTCTTCCCCAGGAGTTCTGTTTTTCTTACTGTTTTAACCATCTATTCTTAACAG